ACTTGCCACTCTTGAAACTCTTTGGACTTTGGGCTGCTGCCAGTGAATTAAGCGCCACTCCCTGCTCTGCCTGGTCACCCTTTGGGTACCGCATAATAATGCTGTGGGCGAGTGGACTGTCACGAGGAAGGGTGGGCATCTCCACGGGCAACTTCAGCAAGACAGGCTCCAGACGAGGCGTGGCAGCTGTTGTTGCTACTGCTGTTGCAGGAATGCCCGAGTGTGTGCAGAGAATGGTCTCATCAACGACCACAGCTAGTGGCAGCTTGGCGAAAATCTCCACCAAAACGGCCACCACTAGTTTGCCGTGTTCAGCGCCAAACTTGGTGGTACACTCCTGCAGGAGTGCCCTGCCATGAACCACACTGTCGACTGAACCGAGCTCTGCAGCCCCTCGCAGCAGGTACACCTTGTTTGGCAAACAGAGTTTCAGCGAGAAGAGGTATATGAGGCACTCGAGGCCAAAGGAAAACTTGCCGGAGTAGTTGCCCAGAAACACTAGGCTCTCGGAGATGACCGGAAAGCTTTGCCAGAAGAGCGCCTCCAGGTGAAGGAGGTCTGCGAGGCTGCCGTGCAGGTCGCCCACCACCACCGCCGGCGCATTGATCTTGATGAGCTTCTTCTCAGTGGTCAGCATCGAGGAGAGGTCATTGCAGAGGACTCGGAGGTACTTGTAGAAGATGTGCCACTCCTGTGGGGCGGTCATCAGTCCAGAGGGCTGCTGTTGCTGATTAGAGACAGCTAGAGGTGCAGAAGCAGCCGAACTCCGTTTGGCGTGAAAGTCCCTAACCAAGTCGATGAAAATGTTGGGCACTGATGAGGCAATGGCGAAGACGTACTCGAGTGAGTAGCGCGACCGACTGATGCTGAAAGGGCTGCTCGCCGGCGGCGGCACAATCGCCGCGATGATGTTCGGCTCGACACACCGTCCCACCGTGTCAATGGTGACGCAGTGGTTTCCGTACTCGTACTGCTGAGCACGACAACTCCAGCAAGTGCCTCTGGTCGTCCGTTTCGCCTTCATTCCCTCCTGACAGACTGCCGCCGACTGAAGGCGGTCCTGCCTTCTGCTCGCCAGTTGACTCGTTATCTGCGCCAATTGAATGCTCTTCGGCGTCCGACAGAGGCGCTCGTTCAGTGGACTTCCAGGGTTGTTCAGCTGTTCCCGAAAGCAGGCGACAAAGTCTTCAAATGCGAGCTGCTGTCTGTTGGCCATGACCAGACGAGCCTCTTCTTTCACCTTCTGCGGCGGCCAAGCGGGAAAGGCGTCTGCCAGCATAAGGGCTACATTGTTTACCTCCAGACGACCTTTCTTTTCAGTGTCGTAGTATCTAAGGAGCAAAGAAAAAGATTGAAGAAAACATTGAGCATCAGGAGTTTCACATTAGTACTTGAATATAAATCGTTGCCGAAGCGCAAGGTTGCTGGGACAGCCGGGGTCAAAAGCCGCCAGACCAACGAGCAGCTGGTGAAAGTCGAGGTAGTCACGCCCTTGTTCGCTGTCATCCGTCAGGCAGAAGGCAGCAAAGAGTCGCTGGAGAGGTGCCTCCTCCAGGGTGACGCCGAAACGGAGCAGGTACAGTCTGAATGACTGGAGGGCCATGTAGAGGGATGGGTAGCAGTGTTCGATGTAGTCGCCGTAGATCTCCAGCACCGTCGCCTCCGTCAGCAGTCGAACACTGATCAGCACCTCCTGCTGTCTGCTGCCCGCCAGCTTCAGGTAGTGCAGAGCACCGCTGGCCAGCGTGCACTCCTCCAGCACCTGGTTCTGCGGAGCGCCGCTGCTGACCAGCGTCGTCAGCGTCCTCACCTCCGGTCCCCAGAGCTGTCTGAGCTGACTGCTGGACGCTGCTGGGTGGTGGCCGGCGGTGGCCAGGACATCGGCCACTGGGAGCCAGCTGACGCGGTCAGTGTCCTTACAGCACTGGAAGTGTGCATTGCCCTCCAGGTAGATCAGCTGACTGAGCCGCAGGACGGCCCTCTTTGAGCCGGGCAGCTGCAGCCGCAGCACTTGCAGGTAGTTCAACCGGTAGATGGGCGCCTGCCGTTCCGCCTCTTCTGCCTCCATCTCCGGGTCGTTGCGGCCGATGAGCACCTCGACGCCGTCGTGAGACGCCTTGATCCAGGTCTCGCCGTCGGACAGGCCGACAAAGGGCAGCCAGACGGACTGGCTCTTGCTCCGACTACTCAGGGCAATGTTCTGGTCAGAAGAAAAAGAGGAGAAAAGGAAAGTTAGTGATCTGACAAACGACTCCAGACATGCACTACTTCGTGTGTGGGACAAAAGATGAGGTAGACTATGCAATCGTAGACTGGCTCAGTGGTGTTGAGCACACCTTCGGGCACTGGTCGGGCCGAAACTGGGTGGTGGTTTCCCGCCGAAGTGGCTGCCTGCTCGCCCATGCCCACACTTCCCAGACTGGCCACTGAACCTGCACTTTTCATTGCAGACCTAAAGGGGAAAAAAGTGAGTGGAGAGTTGTTGAACACACAACTTGCACTGGAAAAAGGAGCTTTATTTATGCTGAAGCAAATCGACAAATGGAATTTTATCTCTATTCATTCAGAACACACAAAAATTTCATTCTAAATCTCCGTTTTCTCGGCAACTTTTTGATTCTAGCAGAATGGCAGCCATTTGTACCGTTTCACCTTTTCAGCCATTTGCACCCAAGAGAATCCGCCGGGCGCGCTGTTCCATTTGGAAGCAGCTGCAGCCAGAGACCAGTGAACCAGAACAGTGCCAGCGGTGAGAGTATTCTGTGATGGTGCCACTACCACAGACAGACTTGCACTCGGTCTCTCTTCGCTCGATTCTGTTGTGTGTGTGCCCGGGCGAACGCCACGTTGTCTGGCGCCTCTTCAGCACTGCTGCTCCCTCACTGACTCGACTCGATTCTACTGCACCAGAGAACAACAACACAAAATCCACTTTTGATTCGCACTTTTCAATTCCTGCACAGATGCGTTTCGCTGAAACCCAATCGTCTCGGAAAAGTGCGATTCAGTGAGGACATTTAACACTGTTTTGAAAAGCGCCAAAACAAACCGCCAAAATGAGCTTTCTATATAAGGCCCGTCTTCAGGTGAACGACATGTTCTCCCAGTTTAGTCGTTTCATTGCGCCCACCTACTACCATGACCGGTGTGAGAGGTACAAGTCCATTACAAGTCCTTTAGTCCTTTTCAAAGGTTGACAACTTTTTTCCTTCACAGGACATTGCAAATGTACGTGTACATTATGCACAAGCGTGAAGTTTTGCTCTCTTTGTTGACACTTCTATCCTCCTACATTCTGCTGCTGTTCATCGGCCTCGCCGGTCCTAACGTGGACAAGGTGAGTTCAATCACCGCTCGGCAGATATTCACCGACTCGAGCATCAGCGACAACTACACCGCTCAGCTGCTTCAGTCGGGCCCGTTCATTGTGACCACGGCGTCGCTGTCTGCCTACTCACAGCAGCTCTCACTCTACATAAGCTTCTCTCTGGTCAACGAGGAGTCTTCTGAAGCCTTTCACAAAGATTTTGATATCAACGTCAAACTGGAGGGAATTGACGCTAAGGACAAGAACTATTCCATTATTTGTAAGTAGCAGTTTTGCCAAGATGATTCTATACCTCTAAATTCCATGTTTTCTTGTAGCTGGAAACTTTACCTCATCACTGTACTGTGGTGGAAAACGCTGCGACCCAATTCGCGTAATGCGCCTCTCCTACATTGAGTATCCGCACTACCGAATCAACCTGACCTTTGATCGGCTAAAGTCAGTCAATGAAAAGTACACCATCAGTGATATTCTCTTTGAGTTCCGCTCCATCAACGTCTCCTTCACGACGCTGTCCATTTGGTTTCGCTTCTTCTTTCTCCTCATCACTTTTATGGTGATGTGCTTCTACATGCACTACCTGTATCGCTTTCCCCTCATCGACTGGTCACTCGAGCAGAAGTGGACCGCAGTGCAGTTGGTCTTGCTCATTCTCTCCAACAATCCCTTCTATCCGATCATCTTTCTGCTTGGATCAGCTTTTCCTCGCCTGCTGGAAATATGGCTGCACACTACGCTGCAGTGTTTGCTCATGCTCTTCTGGCTCTGCTTCTTTCACGGCATAAGGCAAAACAACCGATCCCTATCACGGTTCTACGCCTGTAAGCTGCTTGTAGTCGGCACCATGTGGTTTGCCGTCATCTACACCATGTCCTGGACTATGAGAAATCAGTTGGAGAATCCCATTTTTGACGAAGTCTCCGGCTTTGAAAGCTCTCTCTTTTTGCAGGTAGACTAACATCACAGTTACAAAGTTTTACAGAATTTAATGACAACTTTCTTCTTCTTCTTGCAGCTTCTCAGTCTCGCCTTTTACGTTGCCTTTGTTTCCTACTTTCTCTACTTGATTATCTTAGTGTTCGCAGCGTTTACCGAGTTGCGATCAATGCCCTACTTTGACGTGCGTCTCAAGCTGCAGACTTTTCTTATGCTGTTCGTGCTTACCATTTCTCTGCTGACCATTCTTCTTTCCTCCAACACCAACTTTTCATCATCAGTCCTCATCAGCTCTTTGCCCTTTCTCCGCCTACTTCCCTTTGCACACTTTTCCTCATCTTCGGCAACTTTCCTATCAATTTTCTCTTTGGTCAACATTTACATTTGTGCTTGCGCCTACTACTACAGACCATCACTAAATCAACTGAACGGTAAACAGTTAACTTTTGAAACAAATTAGTTTTTTACAGTTTTTTGTCTTTTTGCAGAGTGCCAAATTGTTCGCGACAACCCTACCTTTTCAATGATCAACGACTCAGATGAGGAAGTCATTTACGAAGGCAGTGATACTGAAGAGCTTCTTAGTTTCTCTGGTCCTGAAGATGAAGTGGTTAAGCTAGACGAACAGCCAAATCAGAGTCAACCGATCAGCCTTGGTATGCACAATTTAATGGACACTCGCACTGACGAAGAAAGTGATTAACATTGAAGCTGTGTATACAACACTCATCAAGTTTCAATTAGTCGGCTGTGATCGCTTCAGAGCCTGATCTAAATCTCCAATCAGGTCATCTACATCTTCAACTCCAATAGAAATTCTCACCAGAGTATCGCTGATTCCGATTTTATCTCGTGCCCACTGACCCATCATTTCGTGCGTCATGATTGCCGGAAGCTCTATTAGACTCTCCACTGCTCCCAAGCTTTCGCCTAGAGTGAAAATTTTCAAGTAACTCAAAAATTTGCACATAGTTTCTAGCGTGCCTTCTAAATAGGCAGCAATCATTCCAGTAAAACCCTTGCACTGCTTCAGCACAAGTTGATGCTGCGGATGCGACTCTAGACCCAGATACAAGACACGTTTCACCAGGGGATGGCTCTCTAGAAACAATGCCACAGCCATTGCATTTTTCTGGTGTTTTTCCATTCGCAAGGCCAGCGTTTTGATAGATCGATTCACCATGAAGCAGTCTATCGGCGATGGAACGGCTCCAATTGCTATTTGGTAACAACATTGACAGTTAGCATTGCACTTCTTGATAACATGAATTTACCATTTTGCAGATATTTAAGTCGATCATACAGCTCTGTTCGGTTGGTTGAAATGCTGCCCATAACGACATCCGAATGGCCATTGACATACTTGGTAATGGAGGTCATGACCAGATCGACGCCTAGCTCGAGTGGGCTTTGAAAATAAGGACTCATGAAGGTGTTGTCAATGGCGATAATCACATTGGGATTTATGTTCTTCAATGTACTGGTGACTGCTCTGATGTCAGTCACCTTTAAAAGCGGATTGGTGGGAGACTCCAACCAGACCAGACCACTCTTTGAACCACGCTGCAAATTGGACTCAGCCGCTTTTGCAACTTGATTAAGATCGCAAAAGTCTACATAGTCGATGGTCAAATCAAACTTGGAAGCACATTTGCGAAAGTATCGATCGATGCCGCAGTAGACTTGTGTGTCGGTTATGATGTGACCGCCTGCTTGAAGCAAATGGGTTATGTTTACTTCGCAAGCAACTCCTGAACTGAAAATCAAAGCTGTGGATTGCATTAAGCATTGATGAAAAATGTGTTTGAAAACAGACAACTCACAGTGTTTAGCTTTGTCTAGAGACGCCATACACAACTCGAGCGAATTTCGAGTTGGATTTCCACTACGACCATATTCAAATCTCTAAAATGTTTGAAATTAAAAAATAAAAGCTGCAAAAAGTGACAACTTGCCGCTGTGACAGCCGGTTCAAATTGGGCAAATGTAGTGGCCATGACTATGGGCGGCACCACGGCCCTCGACTTCCATTGAGCTGAATCTTGTCCAACGTGCAGGGCACGAGTTGCGAAGGCATAACTTGAATGCTGCTCAGCCATTCTTTAGTAATTTTCACTAATTAGTCGTCTAACTAATAAATTATTCAAACTAAACGTTTGCAATGTAGCCAAAAAGAAATCAAACACTTTTTATCAAAAATATGTTTCTCATTAAATATGACACTGTTTCTAATCTGTTTTTGTTGATGCGGCACATGAGAAGAAAAATTATCTGCATCAAGATTGTAGTGTATTATCCAATGAAACTTTCGTTTAGTTATTACAATCAATACACATTGCGATTGAACAGTAATCTATTTTCCATAAACAAAATCATCATTTTACTTTGCTCAACTAGATAAATTCGGATTTATCTACTGATACTTTGTTTCCAATGGTATTGCCTTAAAGCAATTTTATTTGCTAACACACTTGGAAATGATGCTTTCATTTATTCTGTATATTGCACACGGTAATGAGTAAATGCATTATTTATATGCACCCAGTTTTTTATTTTTTAAAAACATATCACATTTAGAATTGCCAATTTTTAGCACAACTTTGCCAAAATTTTTATTTTTAAGCCATTTTTTCAGTTAATTTAAACTTTCAATGATGGAAGAATAATTTGCCTAAACCACATGGTTTTTTACTTTATTTTTATGATGATTTGATTTTCGCATGCACTTTAAATAAAAATATTTTTATTGTGTTATAAAATGGTTAAAAATCAATGTTTCTAGTATACCAATGGTACTTCCATAAAGCTGTCGTACAGAGCAGCAGTTGCTCTGCCAAACACCTCCTACCTCAAAAGCACCTTTAACCATTTTAAAAGCATCTCTTGACTTTCAGCGCACGTTTGTTTTGCTTGCGCCAATTAATAGCCTCTTAAGTAAATGAACGAGGGTCCACTTACTGGCAAACCTCATGAAATCGCTTTGCTAATGTGCTCGTTAATTCTCTTCTTTACTTGCACACACACTCTTTCAAAGTGAGCTGTGATGGTCACTTGTGTCTTCTCGTCACGCTCTTCGCAGTGATTGCCATCATCAACTGCTTACTGAAACCATCACCATCATTTCATTTTTCAAATAATCAAAGTGTTTTTACCTGTTACTGTTTATTTTTATTTTGTTTGGAAAAGGTTTTTGAGTCATTTGGATTGATTTTTAACAAGTTGGAAGAGAAGTGCACAATGATAATCAACTTTTAATTGGCTGATTGTATAAAACGTTTGTTTGTAGTGCACTTGTCAAACAATAAATCAATGGACAAAAAAATTGTACAAAAAAAATTGTACTAGCAGGTTAACTAAAAAGATGTTTACAATATTTTTTATCTTTCATTGACAATTGTAAATAATAAATAATTGTTCTGAAAAACTCCTAAATTGTACACAAAATATTCTGTAAAGCGAAATAATTTGAGGGAAAGGCCGAGAAAAGGGACACTAATTTTCATTAAACTAATACTACCCTTCTGCAGTGCCAATTCGAAGCTTTTTCGTGCATGAATCCATCTGGCCTTTTACTTTTTGCCTCGTTGCAGTAAACTCCTGTACAAGCAAATGTCAATGGAAATCAGAAAAGGCAAGAAAATGTCACAGTTGAACTAGTGTCGAAATCACAAGTGAATTGTTTGTCCTTTTAAGAATTTCAATTGTCTTGCAGTTTTTGTTGTTGTTGCTGCTACTGCCATTTGTGTCGCTTTGAAATTGTTTGGTATTCCCTTCTCTGGCACCAGCTCATCTACGCAGACTGTCCAATAACACAAATCGAGTGGGCAATATTATTAACTACTCGTCTTATTGGCTCAATTGCTTTCAAGTATCTTTCCTACTTGAGCACAATCAGAGCAATCTTTGTGTGCCTTGTATTGAGAACGCTACTTTTTTCAAGGTTCACTTTGTCTAAATGAACTTTCTTTTTCATTTTCTCCTTTTTCTCTTTTTGTCGAAAGGCCTTCACAAGGACTAAATTCTTTGTGTTCATTAATTTTACTTTGCACTTTACTTTCACTATGCATTTCTCTCTACTGTGTGTGTATTAGACCGATTGCAAATTTGATGCTACTGAGAGAATTTAGGGAATTTAGTTGAATGTTTATAAATCTGATTACTTTTTGAAACAACGTAATGAAATGACCTTTGTTACTTTTTACAACTTGGAATTTGTATTGTTTTTTAAACAAGCTCATTTAATTTAAAAATTTTTATACAATTAAAAATTTTGTTTTTTTTTGTAAAAACAAATGTGTAGTTTAAAAATAGATATTTTATACTTTTTCGTGATACTTTTAAATGAATGATCAATTTTCAAATTTTCAAATTTGTGCTGTTTTAGTAACTGAAAAACTCACTGCTAATTTTTAGTTATGAGAACTTGGCAGCTCTTGTTTAAATACAAACTAAAACTTTTGAAGTAGAAAGTTGTCAATATTTAATTTTAATTGGACACTGAATCTAAAAAAAGTTTGATTTCTCTCGATCGCTGACCACTCGTTTTATTTGATGTTCACCGCACACAAACTTTGTGTCATATTTTGGTTTGTTTGCTACTCTACTGTTAAAAATACATTTTAAGTACAGTTTTTATAATGGTAGCAATTTTCCAAAAAGAAAACTCTGTAACAAGTTTAGACTTGATGACCGGAAAGAAAAACGCAATAACGCCTTGTGTTGGACCATTGTCAGGAAGAGAAAAAGGCTTTTTCTACACCATTTCAGGAAAATAAATGCATGTATGCAATTTTCTTTAGTCCACTGTATTTTGGTTGACCTTTCTCTACGACCCCTCTTTCCCTTGTTTCAGGTCATGCAACAAATCGATTGTAGCTCCGAATGTGATAATCACTAGCCTTATCAAGGCATCATTTTCTTTAGATAGCGTTTTTGCACTGCTTTTGTTTTGCATGTCTAGTTCCAGCAACACTGGGCAGCCTAATTTATGCTTATGCACAGCACAGCCTATCGATTGATGGCAGTTTACCCAGTCAAAGAGAGTGTACTTGCCTGGGTTGGCTCTTTTGCAGTACTTTTTGCGGGTCTGGTGTTCACCAGACGACCACCCGATCGGGTTGGGTTTCTGCTGCACTTCTCCTCTCTGTCTCTCACTTTTTGTCTCTTTTGATTCAATCTCATCGACAGTTTAATTACAAGTGAGCACAGTTTGCAGTTCAGTGCCGTCGAATGTGTCCTTTGTCATTTTCACTCTTGCTCTGTTCATTTTTGTTGCTGCTTCTGTACCAGGACTAGCAGCACTACCGCATCTATCTGATGCAATGCTTCCATCGGTGCTCTTGTTCCATTGTTCACAATGCCAATGTGCACTGCGTCCGACACATTTACATGCACTCTCACACAGACACACACACACGAACACGCACAATCACTGAACGGAACGGAAATAATTAAAAATTGATTCCATTAAGCAAACAGAAAAATTTAAATACTGTTTATGCTAATGTGCATAGTACACAACCACTTTCGACACTGTCTGGACATCTTCAGACTTGACTTTGTCAACTTGACAACAACTTTCCACCGCTGATTCCTCAACTTGACCTCCACAACTCTTCACTGAATCGTCTCCAGTGAGAACTACAGTTTTCTCTTTCCATTCCTATCAATGACATGCTTTGAGTGAATTTGCACACATAGGCACTCTAGAAAAGATTGCCTGTGGTTGAGAAATTTAACTCTTACTCTTTTTCTCTTTCCTTACACCCGTCTCTAATGAAACTTCAACCATGCAATAATTTATAGGTTTTAGATAATAAATTGACGCATTGCTGATGATGAAAATATTAATTACTCTGCGTTGCTGCGATTCACAGGGGCGCACACACACACGCTGAGGTGCCGATGAGTGTTACACTGTGTCTTTCTCTAGCAAGTCACAATAAATCACCAGACCGTTCGTTTGGGGTAATGGCATCTTCAACCAAATGGTCATGATTCGCACTGCTCAGTTTCCCAGTTTTCCTGGCACACCAAAAGGCAATCTTAATCTTAATTTATGCCGAGATATAATGTTGCCAGTACAATGTTCAATCATACATCTTGTTTGAGCGCTTTTTTCCACTGCAAACTTGACAGTGGCTCAATTTCCCGTATCAGCATCACTAGGAAGCTAAAGAAACGCAAAAAACATGTAACACTTTTTTACTCAAAAGGTTTATTTATATAAAAACTTTTATACTTTTAATTAAATATTGAGTTAATAGAATGTGTGTGTGTTGGATCAAATTGTACAACAAAATTTATTAAAGTTTTCAACTGGCATTTGTAGAGTCCTAGTTGTGGGGGCTTTTTGTTGATTGAGAGATAGAGAGAAAGTGGAGAAGAAGGAAGAGGTCAACCAGTTTGCTAACAAAAGAAGAAAGATATTTGGTTTTGTTTAAAAAAGCTTTGTTCTTTGAGTTTCGTTTGTATTTGTGGACTTGTTGATTGTTCGCAGTGTTGGGTGTAAAGAGAGGAAGTAAAAGTGGAAGGTACAAATGCTCTGCGAGTGAAGAAGAAGTTGTGTGTAGAAAAGGAGAGGAGAATGAAATGGAGTATATTGGAGCTAGCTTGTAGCCAATGGACACCATTCAAGTAGGTACAATAGTTTGTGTGAAACTGTACAGGGGCACTGGTAGTGGAAGAGTAAACAAATGTAACGAACGAGGTCAAACTCAACTTGTGATGATGGAAAGGAGTGTGTCTGTGTGTGCACTAGGTTTGCAGGCGTTCAGATCGGCCGACCTGACACCGTACTTGACCACCAGTCCCCAAATGAGGGGAAAAGTGGCGCTATCACTGGGCTGAACAACAAAAGTTGGGCTCAATATTAACTCATTTGCGTAGGTAGATCTCTTAAGAGTGCACCAGTTGATGGTGCCAATGGAGAGAGAGAGAGAGAGAGAGAGAGAAAGTGAGAAAGAGAACAGGGAACAGATAAGAGGAATGATTCGAAAAGAATGGAGCTGAGTGGATGGTTTGATGATGCTGCTCGGTGCTTACTGCTTTGCACCTGCTCACACTGCACTCTCACTGACTAGTGACTTTGATTATCTGG